TCGTCGGTTGCGTCGAGCGTGGAGCAGGGTCCCGCAGAACCAGGGCACCTGCACGGTGAGGGAATTGCCGGAAAGATTGTTCTTAAGAGTTCCACCTGGAGTACAACAAGACCTGTTTTCACCTGGATGTTCTGTAATGTTTTTTTGCCAATGGATTTTTCAGGGAGGTGGCCAAAAAGAGGAATCAAAAGCAGAATGAGACATTAGAACAAAGGTTTCATGGGCTTCGGAGCCAGGGCTTGCCGCGGCCATTGGTTGGTGATAAGACTTTGCAGATCCACCATCATGGCTTCGAGTGCATGGAGATGATCTTATTTTGGTGAGGATGTGCTTTGTGTGACCACCGCGCGGGTGGAGCAGTGATTGACATTCCTTGTGAATGCCGAGATGAGGTGATGTTGCGCCAAGTGGGGGTGGGGCGGTGATCGCTGTGCATGCCACGAATATAATGAATATAAAGGCTGCTGCTGCTGCTGCTGCTGATGATGATGATGATGATGATGATGGCGTGAAGACCTTCAATTGCCTCCACCTTTTTGTGAACCTCCATCACCTTCATCACCCCCACCATCACCAACGACCATCACCATCGCCACCTTCACTACCATCACTACCACCTTCAACGCCACCACCATCACAACCATTGCAACAACCACCGTCACCATGATCACCACTTTCACCACCTTCATGACCACCATCACCTCTGTCTGGAGCCCACTGCGTCTAGATCTCTAGACGTTCTGCTTCTACATACACCTCTACACCGTACCTTAGACCTTTAGACACGCTGTTTGGGGACTCTTGCCGAAGCTGAGTTGATCATACTGATAGACAGCTGTCATACTGTGCTAGACTTGTTGCGTCTTGTAGGGAGCCTTGAAACCCACGAGGTTTCAACATGTCTGTGGGTCAGCCTCTTCAACCTTGCTTGACCGACCTCACTCCGACCTCGCGTTGGGGGCGGCCTTCTCCATCTCCGACCCGTCCAGCCTTCGGCCTTCGGGCCCGATCGACACCTTGGGCGCGTAGACGTGGCGCCCGATGGACCGGAGGTATGGGCGAATCGATTTGGACCAGTTCGTCATTGGCTTGAGGCACCGGAACCGCATCGGGCTGAATGCGCGCGTTTCGTGCGGCTTAGCCACGTCCGCAGAAACAAATGGTTGAGATCCTTTATGGCAATTGGGATCCTTAATTTACATAGGAAATGGCCGGGGGGTGGGGAAACATTCGTTTGTTTTAAAGGTTTCCAGGTGCATGTGAAGGGAGGAGGGAGACATCCTGATTGATCAAGTGAAGGGTTAAGCACTCAAAAAAAACAAATCTATTAGAAAAACACACAACGTTGTGGCTGATTTTTTTCGGGGGTTGCGTGAAGTGGTACTGTAGTTGTTTTTATTTGGTTGTTCAAATTTTATCTTCCGATGAGTGTTTGACTTGGATTTTGGAAAATAACACAACAACATTGAACATAATTAAGATGAGGATGACAACCTGCTGTTGACTGCAGGATCAGATTGAATTACCAAAGGAGGTCTATCTGAACAGACTTCCGAAAGCAAAATGTTCTTCCAAAAGACGGAACCACTCCAATTTCGTACGCACATGAATTTCAGACACCAATGATTTTCTAGGGAACCATGCACGTGTGAAAGTAAGAGGGCAAACTGTCATTTCATGGTTAGCAGGTGTTCGCTTGGTTTGAGTTGGACAAATGGTATGGCTGATGCATGGGGTAGAACAGATAGAAGAGTTGGCAAAAAACAAACATGTCCTAAGACAGTACGCACAGAAGAGACTCATCAGAGAGAAAGTATAGAACATTCGAGGTTTGTGGAGACAAGAAGCAGAAATGTCATGAATGGGAGGAAGTTTGGAAAAGAAGAGACTTCTAAGAAAAAAACAAACAGTAATGAACCGCCTCGTGCTAGATCACCACATGTTAAACATCACCAAAAACAACATTGCATCTCAAGCCATCGCACGCCAGTTGACGTCATCACAAACCACACAAACCACCTTGCAATTGATCACCATGTTGCATATGTGTTCTGAATGAGCAGGCGAAATGATTAGATCATGTCTATGATAATATACTGTAGTTTATTCACTGATTTGCTTGAAACTCAGGGGCAGGTCCAACTCTCACACAGACATGGAACGTAGTAGCTTTGTGTTTCATTGATATTATGCAATAATCCAGGGCTGCAAGTTGCAAGCTTTGTGTTTATATAGTTAATATATATTATATATATAGGTACAGATATTGAGAATTTGCTTTTCGTCGACCCCCCCATTCTTCTTCAGCGGGGGAAACCGAATGGAAAGAGCTTCCGAATGGGCGCCGACCGTCGACCGACCCATCCCCGAGTCGGGGTCGTCCCGGAACCTGCGCTCGTACCGAAACGGACGTCCGTTGAAGGGAAGGTACTGGAGACACAAAAGGGTTCCTTTGTTGAGCCTGTGCAGTGTTCGTTGGCCATGAAAAATCAGGCACTGTTGGGTTTTCCTGAAAAGGAACGCGCCCCTTGTTTGTTCAAAAGGTACCAAATGGCGACTTGTGAAAAGGGGTCATGGTGCCCTTTTCGGTACGAACGACGTGGGGTCCGGGTCGATGTCCAAACACGACCTGAAGGCAGTCCCACTACGACCCCCTCCAAATCTTCACACACGACCAGATCACTCCATTAGCGGTGTGCTATAGCACATCAGGTGTTTGTGTGTTTTTTCTTTTTCGACTTTGGACCTATGTGACCCCTGAAATCCGGGCCAGATGGATCCAAACTAAGAAACATCAGACATCTCACTCCTCTTGTATTGTATCCTTGCACACGTTGATCGCGACCAAGTCAGACAAAGCACCCAAAAAGGGACGGACACCACACCTTTGTTCTACTTGGCCCGGACGACTGGCTCGACCTTCTGCACTGCATCCGGGTGCTCGGACCTTCTTTCCAACAAACACCGGTGGCGACGGACCCACGAAGGGCCGAAACCGAGGTGGGTTCGGGTCGGGCTTCGTCAGGGTAGATTCGTCCGTGGACCAGAAACAACGATCCGATGTGGTAAGCTGGAGGCCATCCGATTCGTAGGGAGGCCGACATCCAAAACGATCCTCATTTCTCCCTCTCCAACCAGACCCGAAGGCAGCGACTCTTAACCTTGCCGGGCTTTGAAGGCTCCGCGCGCGAGGCTGGGGCCCTAGGCGGAGCGCAACTGCGCGGTGACACTAATAGCAAAAACGAGATTGGACCTCTCTTCCTAGTAATAAGTGCATCGCTACTAGTAACAAGTGCATTACTACTGGTAGCAAGAACTACTGTAATAGATAGTAGTTGATTTTGTCCCAAGCTGGAGCGGAGTTTTTTTCTTTGGAGTTGGTCATACAAAAAGTACTCCATATTTGCCTACATGGAGTGTTTGGGAGGGTCAATTCGCCAATGTATATTTCATGGAGTGATTGGGTCCGTCAACTAGAAATCTTGTGGGAAGAGGGAAGTGCAGTTTCTACCAAGCGCAGCTTCGACCAGTCGTCTTTCGTCGTCTTTTGAGCGCGATCCGGATCAGTATTCCCCAATAACTAAGGGACATGAGCTGAGAATGGTGCAGTTGAGGCAACAGGAACAAGAACGGTTAAATGAATGTTTCCCAGACACTCCATGTATGCCATAATATGCCTACATTGACCCCCCAAACCACCCCAATGTAGGCAAATATGGCAGTTTGATGGAGTGTTTGGGTTTCACATTTCGTGAAGTCATACCTTCATGTTGGGCAATTGATTTCTCGCTGAAGGAACTGGTGAAGAGGTAATGGTCGAGGGCGGCTCTGGTGCAGAAACTGCAGAGCACCGGGTGAACGGGGTGGTTTGATCAGTTGGGGCGAACGGGTTTTAGATGGGTTTAGTTAGGCAGTTAGGCAGTTTAACCATGGAGTGTGTTGTGGAGTGTTTCAGGCATCCCTTGATTCCTGGACAATGAGAATGAGTGTTTGTTGCTCCGTTGCTCCTTTGCACCAACAGACAAGCTTCCAAATAGACAATATTGTTCGCATGAGCTCGAGATGATCAAAGCGAGCTGGTTGAGAGTATAGAAGTAAGCACACTTTGAGGGCTGAAACTCATATCGTACTGTGGGAAGTTCTTTCTGTTGGATTGCTTTGAATTGCCTTGAGTACTAACGACCTTAATAGTGATGGCCTCCAACCTACGGCCTCCACACACTCTGACATTGGTTTGCTGTTAACTCAATTCCCACGTTGAGAAGGAAGGTGAGGGAACCGCAAGGCGAGCAGGTCAGGTCACTTGAAATGTTGAACAATTGTTGCACTCAGTGGTCAAACTCTCGCACGACTGGCTGCAATTCACAAGCGGCTGAAAGCTGTGGTGGGAAACGGGTTTCGGGGAAGGATCACATGAAAAACCATGAATCAAATCAAAAGATTGGACAGCGTGGTCAACAGTTTCATTGCAGGTACAAGAGCCGGCGTCCCAGCTCTCTTCCAACTGATTTCCGTAGCTTCGTTGGCACGGATGGGAAATCAGTCTCCGTGCCCCCTGCATTTTCATTGAAGGGTTAAAGGGGTGGATGCTTAATGGGGTGGATTGGAGAGTAGTAGATTTCAACACTATTCAACATTATTCAACATTATTCATCATTGTTTGTCCCTTATCCAAACAATGATGGAAAGAGCTCAAGAAGTCTTTGTTTGCTATGAAGTCTTGACCGCTGTCCATGGAGTCTGGTTGGCTGCGATCATTCAGAGACACTGAGTGACTTCTTGAAGGGTTCCTTCCAATCCATTCATGCGATTGTGCAGCTGCCTCAGCAAGTTCTTCGGTTTGGATCATTTGCATGTTGCATCGCGAAGTCTTGGTCCCGTGTATGTCGGGCAAGCTCCTAAAGAAGCAAGCAGGGTTTCAGAAGAGACAAACTGAAGAACAGCATAGGTGAAATGAAGAGGTTCAATGACACACAACACTTCTTGCTCTAGACTCAACGATGGACCCTTCACCGGAAGGGTTCCCATCGCCGGATTGGGCCGGCGTCTTCAGCGAACTGCCATGCTTGCTGCATCCGTTGCGACTGCAGCTTCTTTGCGGTGGCTTGGGCGCGCCGGAGCATTTTCTGGATCAGCAGCAGATTCCCTTTGTGGCTGATCCATATGTGGACAATGCTGTCTTCCTGGCCCCGGCTCTGCAGAGCTTGTATGGACAAGGCCATCGTGGCACAGTGTTGTTCACGGAAGCAAACGTGCCGTCAACCTTGGCCTATGCCTCGGAATCGGAGCCAGCTCTCCGCAACCGCATCGCGAACTTGCACCCGAAAGCCTTTGTTTCCGATGATGCCAGGAAACACCTGCCAGGACATGTTCTGAAGAAGGTCAAGGGCCAGACAAACCCCGTTGTGTACTCGGCAGGTGCGCCCTGCCAACCCTATAGCAAGATAGGCAAACGCGGAGGACAAGGCGATGAACGAAGCGATCTACAAATGACCGTTCCTTGCCACAACTTAACTTAATGAAATAATGATTGAAATTGACGATTGGTCAGCGCCGTGTCGCTGCTGTAAGCTTGCCTAGGCTGCCAATAGGATCGCAAAGATCCAGCCGGATGCCTTCTTGCTCGAGCAGGTGCCCGACATTGTCAAGCACAAGAAGTTCTTTGGCAACGTCTTGGCCAAGTAACTCGACTGAACCACTCAGTCCTATTTAAATTCATTTGTAATGTCTAGTCATTGATCACCAAACGTCTGAGGCTGCGGATGCCTGGCTACACCGTGAAGCACAAGGACTTTGCGTCCAGTTAGTTGCAGTTGTTGGGTCACGTTGTTGAGTCCGTCAGTGACTAAGTTGAGCTGCGTCAGGTCTTGAATTCTCGTTGTCACGGAATGGCCACTGGTTGCAGATTCTTAGTCAAAAGCCACCCGAGTCAAGCCCTGAACGTATTCCGATAGAGGCGACTGCAGTTGAAGGGCTTTCAGCCGACTGCTTTCAGCCGACGGCTATCTTTGGGAGCGGCGCAGGCCATGCTGTGGCTGTGGCGTCGGAAAGAGCTTCACCTTGCGCACATGACGGAGCACTCTTGCGCGCTGACACCTCAGACCTTGGTTACAAAGGCTGGTACAAAAAAGTTCTTCTTTGTGCTTGCAAGCACTTGCCATGGAGCTTGGACGTGGGAGGCTGAAGTTGTAGAGACACAGACCTATACGTTGCGAGGTCACAACGAGTGGGCCTGGCTGACTGTGACGAATGTGAAAGATTGGCATTGTGTGCCATATGAGTGGACGATCAACAAAGTTCAGACCGAACAGTTTGGCTTCCTGTGCATGAAGCAGCGCGGTGCCTCATGCCCTTTGGTGGTGGAAGCGCTGTGCCGTAAGCGGCGGCCACTCGTACACCAAAGAGTGCTGCTTCTCCGTTGCTATATGGTGTGAACGTTCGCAGTGGCAGCTGAACTCCACATGTGTTTTATGTGTTTTAATTGTTGAATCTACAGGTCTTTTTGCCAGTATTGAAAGTTTCCACCTGACAAATTGTATACAATTCTTCCATAGGGTTTTGGTGTTGCACTATTCCGGCCTGCCCCCAATTCAAGGTACGCCTTTCGAACAGCAAGAGCACGAGTTGCTGGAGAACCTTTTGGAGAGCGCGGATGCAACAGTGAAAAGCTCCTATATGGCTCCACGAGGAGGCCATCAAGTCAAGGGAGAAGCGACAGAGGAAGCGCAAGCAGCGCGAGGTGGATGGTGATGCATCTGAAGCATCTGACAGTGACGACGACAGTTTATCGGATGATGATGACCCGATGCCTGAATATACCTTAGCTGCCCTGGAACACATTGAGGCCACAGGCAGGAATGCATTCGGCGTTGCAGCTTCTTCTGCCAAGCAAAAGGAGCAAAAGAGGCATGCAATGTTGCAAAAGTACAAGCGAGCAATTGAGGCAGAGCATTTGCTAGCAGATGAGGCCGAAGATCCAGGACCACCGCTTTCTGGTGCTCCGCATGCCGAGGATGCTGTGGAGGAAAAGCAAGCGCCGACCACAGAGGCTGTAGAGGCCGAGACGCTCCACAGCCACAAATCCAATTTGCCAGCGATTCGTCGCTTTGTGCCTGACAGACCATGCACTTGTGAAGGTGAGCTCTGTTCCATCAATTGGATCCAGGGCGCAGCGCGCGGCGAGCACTGGATTGCCCGGTACAGCTTCAGTGTGCCGGCCGATGTGACTAAGGTGAAAAGGGAATTGAAACAATCAAGCCGCACAAAATACACCAGCTCCAATGTCTCCGAGCACATGGCCTTCCAGCATGTGCTGTCTTGGATTTGGCAAAAGCACACGCTTTGCACTAGTGATGAGCAGCCCGCTTTTGTCACAGACTTCTTGCGCGAGTGTCCTGCATGCAAGGCAGATCCGAAGACATGCACGGCCATGAATGCTTTGAAAACGAAAGCGAGCATCGCAGCTTTGCCAGGCTGGGCCTGCCGTAGTCAGAAAACTGTCGAGAGACTTCTAAAGCATTTGCTCACAACAATTCTCTTTGCCTAGTTGCCACCTAGAATCCTTATTGCTATCACCCAAACCGTGTTCGCCTGTCTGTCCCTCAATTTTCCTTGTGACAGGCCTGGAGGTCGAGAGCAGTGAGTCGAGGAAGGCGATTTGCTGTGGCTTTTGTGGGCTGCAAGACCACGCTGATGGAGCGTGTCCTCTGATGCGGTCTGTGCTCCGTGAATCAGCAAGGTCTTCTGCAGCTAGCATGTTCAAGAAGGTTTACCAGAACCTTCATGGTGGTTCGCAGCAGGTTGTGAGGGAGGGGGCTAGCGTCAAAACAGTTGACATCCCAGCAGATGGAAATTGTTTGTTCTCCAGCATTTCCTAGGGATTAGTGCTTCAGATCTCTCCAGTGGTTCCTCCTGCTGCGAAGATCAAGGAGTATGGGCAGCTGCCTGACTTTGCACAGACAGCTTTTCTACTTCCGTGATTAGTAACTTAGTAACATGCGCAACGAATAGGCAACGCTACAACTTTTTTGGCTCAACAATTTCGTGAGCTACAGCTTTGCGTGATTGCCAGCGTTTTACCAGGAAAATGCGTGCAGCCTATTTGCGGAGCCTCGAGAAGCGGCTTAAGATTGGTTGGCGGCTGCCTTGTTGTGCTGAGCTGCCTTTGAAGGAGTGCTTGGAGGCTTCTTCAGGCATGGACCTGTCGAGCTACCTTCAGGACATGGCAAAGCCAACGACTTGGTTTCTTCGAAGCAGCGTTCATGGCCTACAAACATGAAGTGCCGTCCCTGAGCGTCACCAGAGTAATTTCTCTGCAGAGTAATTTCTGACCGTTTCTGACATGCTTGATATTAAGTGGACTCACCTAGGCGAACGCCTCTTGTTTTGTTCCAGGGTAAATCTTCAGGGTGTATTTTCCCGATGGATGTTCGAATATTTCTTGAGAGGGATTGACCGTTTTTGGAGGGATTGACCCTGTCCTTTTCATAGTGATGTTCGCGCAAGGGTTTTTCCTGCGCAAGTGCACTTGGCCGAGGATCGAGATTTGGGCGCCGGCAGCCACCTCGGAGCATGCAGACTTGCTCTTGGTAGGCCAAGTTGGACCAAGCGGTGGCAGCAAGAAAGCTGTGGCCATCGTTTGGCGCCAGACTCACTACGAGACTCTCGTGAGTTGAAAAAGTGGTCCTGTGCAGCAGCTGCATTTCCATTCATTTTTTTCACGTTCCCATGCCACCACCTTAAGGACCCACCACCATAACCCAATCTTGGCATTTGCATGTAGAACAAGGAACCCTTAGGAACAGGGGTTGACACACACACACGTGGTTTTTCTCCCAGTCGTATTTCCTTTCTCATCTTTCTCGTTTCCAGCCTTTTAGAAGACATGCTCCGTCGAGGCTCATCAACTGGGATCCAAGTACCTTCTCAGCAGATGATTGGAGACACTCCTTATGTAAGCTACGAACGTAACCAATTGGCATCGCTACTAGCAACAAGGACGCTGCGAACGTAGCAAGAAACCATTACTACTAGGAACCTAACCTACTTGGTATTACTAAGAAGTATATTAGCACTTATATAATACTTCTTGCCATACCTAGTAGCTTCTTGCTAAACCACTTCTGTAACAATTCGCTTGAAGGCCATTATTCGGTTAAGGATCCAGTGGTACCGTACCTCAGGTTCGGTACGACTGGGCCCGACCCGGTCGGCGCCTACATAAACCCTAGGCTTCCAACAACCATCAATTAAATAGGTTTTAGCGAATCAACTAAGGATTTTACACTCCAAAAACCAGGTCAACCATTGTTTTGACGGTCTTGGAAGTCTAGGGTAAATAGATATGTAAATAGTCTCCGTCCTCACCGTACCTGAGAAGCTTACGTGGATCCCTAGGGTAAGCAGGCCTCGAAATGTCATTTTTCCGCTCATTTCGAAGGTCCTGGCTGAACCAGTTCACTCTTTTCGCCTCTTTTCTGGTTTCCCCCTCTACCCAACACCACCTTCTACAGTTCACTCCCATTCACCACGTAAACCGCGCGTCTCACACCACAGAGGCAACGCCTTCGGCGGTGGTGCCTGGAGTCGGCCTGCAGGTTCGAAACGACTGTGTCGACAGCGGCGAAGAGGGTCGGTGCCGCAAGGTGAACGCGGTGCCCTGATGGTTCCGTCAGTGTTTCAACGGACGGGTGGGGTGAAACTGAAGACGTTTTTAACGACTCAGGTCGCATATATATGTGTGTTTCTTCGACATTCTATCATAGCATGGTGGTTGCTTGTTTTTTTCACCTTAATGGAAGTATCATACCAGTTGCAGGGTTCGATTGAATGTCAGTTCATAGGCTTTGGGGGGGAGCTGGAGGGGCCGATCTGGGTGATGTTTTCCAAGAGGTTCCTTAGACTCGTTAGACAAAAAGATGTCGAGAACACGCCGGTGGAGTGTCGCACCTCGGTTTGTCCGAAACTCCAAAGCCAACAGAGGTTGAATGACCTGGACTATACCAGTCTGGTACCCCAGTGGAGTCCTATAAGGTCACTTAACCTCTTTTGGAGGTTTTGTGTTTTCTCCCAGATACGACCTGTCTGGGACTGCCATAGGACTGCCGCCCCATTGACCCCCAGTCAACCACCCCTGGCCGTTTTGAAGGCAGTCCTATGGCAGTCCCATGGGTCGCATCTGGGTATTGTTTTCGTTCTTCTCGATCAGCTCACCCTTTTGTGGTTCAAGGAATATCCGCAGAAAGGCTTTAGGGGAAGCTAGTGCTTCACCCTCTCATTCCTGATCTTGGAACTGATTTTCTAAAACCAACGGGCCAAGATGCACAATGAAAGAACTCCAACTGCCAGAACTCGACAAGATCAGGAGGTCGATTGAGGAAGTCAACACAGCGTGAAAAAACCAGGGAAACGGGTGGCCGCTTTGGGCTTCCGCCCCAGGCGAACACATAGTGGGCGCCATTGGGCGCCCCATAGTTCCGGTTTCATGTTGACTGGGGATGAGAGTCAAGACATGGAAGACATGGAAAAGGTTCAGAACTTGGGAATCACTGGAGTTGAGGTGGTTGGACCCTCCATGAGACTGCCACGACGGACTGAGTTTCACGGCCAGCTCACTGGTGGTGCCAGGGGGGTCTTTCTGGTGCGGCAGTCCGTACTGGCAGTCCCATGGAGTTTCTGCAGGTGGTTGGAACCTCCAAGAGGACGATCGAAGCGGACAACTCGTGAGGGTTAACCCCCCGGAATGGTGGTCCAATCGCTGTTCCCGGTGGGGGAGAGAGAGAGAGAGGGGGGTACCAGTTCGAGAAGAATGTGTTGCTGACCCAAACCCATACCATCCATTTCATGGAATAGTTACCATAAACGGTGACCCTGAAAAAAAAAAAACATCAGAAAAAATATTCACCCACGTATTCCAGTCCCATGGATTGTTGGGGAAAGTTATTGTACGCGCACAGCCGAGTTCGGAAGACGTTTCTTTCCGGCATCGCGCTGCACAGGAGTTGCGGGCGTTGTGGCGTGGCTTCGAAGAAAAAGGCACTGTCTCAGCTAAGGACCGAGTCCAGAGCAGGAGTTGCGTATAGTAGGATAACACTGGATATAGGGGAGCTTAATGGACCTTGGAATATAGGGGAGTAAACCTCAATCCCTGTAACAGTGGATAGTGATGTTCTTAGTAAATGGCCTTTCTCAGAACCCTATGGATCCACTGATATCCTTTACGAAGGTGATTGGAGACACTGTTGTGTAGGTTTGGAGGGTCCAGTCGTACATTCTAAGAAGGTATTTGGATCCCTATAGGGTATACATATACGTATACATGTGTGTACGGGTGTGTTACTTTGTTTCAGTCACTCTTTGCTAATTTTCTTTAGACCATGTGTACTATACAGACTATGCATATATTTTTCACTCTATTGTTCTTAGTTCATTCCCAGTTTGCAGAGACTTGCGTGTCCCTTTTCCGGAGCTTCTCCCCGATGGTTGGCCTCATTTAGGTTTGGGATATTGAGAAACATCCTTCTTGCGCCGCCTGCATTGACATTTAGGGTGGGGTTACAACAGGATAGGACAACCCCATACTGGGCAGTTAGGTCAAGCCAAGGATATCAAGATGATGTGAATTAGGGGTATGGACTGCTTGCTCTCGAGTGTGGGAGTATGGAGGGTGTTTCCAGGCTGCTGAGCCACAAGGAATCATGATGTTTGTTCCTTGTTCCTATGCTTTGATTGCCTTTTCTTCGGAACATGTATAAGTATATAATGCATTCATGAGAGGAGATTCACAGTCACTACACCTTTGCTTGGTTGACACCTTTGCTTGGTTGTAGGACTTGTGTGATGCTTGGTCTCCAAAAGGGTTGTAAGAGACGCACCAGCTGGTGCGTGCGCGGTGTTCATTTCGGAGAGGTGAGACATGTTTGATGCAGCACCTCTCCAGTTCGCAGTTGCTTCCTGCCTTTCTTTCTCATCAGGAGTGTCATGGGTCATTCCATTGGCATGTCGACTTGACTGTTGTCTTCTGCATAGACACCATCCGCTGTATTCGCCGATGGTTCGCTTCAAACACCGGTGGCCCTGGGAGTCTCCACCGTGTCGGTGTCGACGGAGGTCGAAACCGCCGACCGGACGCAGAGGGGTGGAGACGACCCTAGGCCCTCACCCCGAGGTACCAGGACACTCTAAGTGACTGGTCACTTAGAAGGTCCTGGTAGGGATAAGATTCCAGTCATCTGAGTTGTTCTTCGCGGAAGCAAGGAAGAGGGTAGACATTCAGCGCTTCGCCGCCGCTGTTGGTGTTTTGTCTCGATTCTCCACTCCAGGACTGGTCCTTGGGCTTGTGGGGAGCCTCAAAGCTCCGGTCTTCCTCCCGGTCCGCTCGTCGTCCGGACTCCTCACGTTCCGGAGCTCCGGAGCTCCGGACTCATCGGTTTGGTGTCCTCTCGACAGGACAGACGTCGACTGACGGGACGTCAGGTCGGGGGTCCTCGATCTCTAGATCGATCCACAGAGGCCGAAGAGGTCTCGTCACACGTCTCGATTCCACAGGTCCAGAAACCGCTTGGGAGACACCCAACCAGCGCCAGACCGCCAGGCGCCAGGCCGTCCAGGACCGCAAAAAACGGCCACAGACACTGGTGACCACAGGTTGGAAGGATGGAGGATGGAGCAGAGAGATGATACTCGGTGCGATTGGGAAATTGGGACATTCAACTTTCCCTAGGGATCCAAGTACCTCCTCAAAAGGTACTTGGACCCTCCAAACCCACCCCAAACACCTTCTCGGAGGGTACTTGGATCCTTAGGGTTTACAGGTCAGTTTGACCTCATTTAGCTGGTGAGTTTGACCTCAAGGTGTGATCGGCGGAAGGGGTGATGTGTTTGATTTGTTGGCCGCAGGGCTTTTTGTCGTACATGTTTTCAGTGCTACCAGCACCTCCAACAGGCTGTTTGGAGACCCTACCAGGTGGTTTCTGGGCACCTATTGCCACCAGGAAGCACCTGTTGGAGGGTGCTGGTAGAGGTTGATTTTTCTTTTGACAACTGGGGGCGCTTTTCGGTGCTTCTGCAAGCGCTCACCGGGCTCCTTCGAGCGTGAAACACGGCACATGTTCGCCGGAGAGATGGTAGAATCCGCCATGATCCACCCTAGCCAAAGATCCGCCCTAGCCTTCCAAGATCCTTTAAAAGTGGTTGGACCTGGTTTTGTAGTGCTAACTCAGTGAAACAATGGTTTTGTTCGGGATGACCCAGTCCCGCCCCAATCGTCCGCGTCTCCCAGCCGCGTGAAGGCACACCTACGTGTCTCCAATCGCACGCATCTCATACGCCAACGCGCCGGTGCGGCAAGGTATCGTTTGGAATTAGACTCCTGGCCGGAAGCGTCCGAGACAATCTTGCCCTTTGGAAGGAAACAGTGCGTGGCGTTGAAGAGTTTTGAACGCCTGCTGCCAGCAGTCACGTTCGACGGGGTGCGATCCATGGAGGTTAGGGGCGGCCAGAACATCCGCTCACTTAGGGACTAAACACCACCCCTTTATGACTCCTGGTTAAAAGTATTAATCACCATTTTCATTGGGGCACCAAAGGATTGGGGACACTCCACTCAACATTGAACAATTATTGAACAGGTGTTCGTTCGATGAAGCGTTCTTTGCGGAGACGGACGGGTCAGAAC